TTCTAAAAATAAAAAATCAATATAATTATGAGAATCATTCAGTATGAAAATGTAAAAAATAAAATTTAATATGACTTTTCACCATATATTTAATAATATATATATATATATCATCTATATCTATATATAGGACCAATCCTTATTGCTATAATTGACATAAGTTTAGGCGAAAAATTTTTTCGTCTATATTTGAAATTTAATTAAAATTTATTTATTAGCAAATCTTATGCATGAAAAACATGTATTTTTTATTCACTTAGTGACTACTACTCAGTAACTACAAATTGTATTAAATTTAAATTTTGACCGTAGTTTTATTAGATATATTTTCAGTGAGATATTATATCAATTTAATAGTAATTTATTGACACAATTCAAAAAATTATTATGGAAATTGATTTGATTAAATATATTATCATCTATGGTTGTAGAAACTAATTTAGTTAATTATATTTACTCAAAAGCACTTAAAATATATAATAAAATAATCAAAATAACTATGTTTAAATCACACTAACTTAATAAATAATTTAAAATATTAATAAAGGTTTATAAAATATAGTCAATTTAGTTATAAAAAGGTACATCCCTATTGAATACATTATATGCAGTGATAATACTATTAAAAATTTAAATAATATACTAATACAGATAAATTTTGATTGTGGGGTGCAACTTAGAATTCTAAATTTCACATTTGAAATATCTATGCACAGTAACAAAAAGCTATTTAATTTTTTAAAAATATATAAGTTTTCTTTTATACTATTTTAAAAATATCTATATCTATATCGTTATCTATATCTATCTATATCTATATATATATAAAGAGGGAGTTGATGAAATTTATTGCTAAATATAGATGATATGCAATGACTATAATTGACAACATTTCTACATTTGGTTGGGTAACTGTAATTGTAAGGTTAATTATTTTTGTTAAGAATGACAAATAATTAAGGGAAATACATTAACATAACTAAATTCGTATTCAATTATTTTTGGTAAATTTTAAGAATGGAAAATAATAAGTAAAAGTTAACTTACTCAATTAATTCTGTTTGGAAATATATTAATATTCTTTTACTATATATTTAAAAATGTATAACATCAACTACGGTCACCATATTTCAATCACTTGATACCTTAAATATATTTAATATCATGAACTCTACATATGTCATTACTATGTTTTTTAAGGCAGCAGTATTAGTTTATGCTAACATAACCATACGTATTAGTTTATTCTAACATTACGCATAGATCCAAAAAACAAATTAAAAAGAATATTTATTATGAATAATCTATTTAAATTAAAAAGAATATTTATTATGAACTTCATTTTTTTAGTATTTTTTAATATATATTAGTTAAATATATTTATGTTAAACGAAGTATTAACGAAATATCTTTTTTATTTTTTAATATATATTAACAAAATATAATTTTTTTTAGATATTTTGTTAATATATAGTTGAGAAATTAGAACGAAATATATTTTTTTCTATTTTTTTTATTTTATTTAATTTTTGGATTTATTTTCTATTTATATTAGTATTATCTTATTTTTTCTGATGTGTATTGATTTATTTTTCGAGTATTTTTATTTTTATTTATGTTAGCGTAGTTGTGTACTTGGAGAGAAGGATGACACATAACGCCACGTATATCACACGTAGGAAATTAAGGAAATTTATAATGTCACGTCATTATCTAATCTGACCACGTCAATTTTTTTATCCAAGTTGAGTGCTTAATGTATCTTTTCCGACCAAATTGTCAACTAAATATTTTCTTTCCGTGAGGGACAAGAAAATGACTGTTTTGTTGACAACGCCAACTTAGTGTATCATTTTTGAAATTTTGCCGCTGAATGCTTAACAAAATACTTGAATCATATTAATGTCAATAAAATTTAAGCATATTATTGGTGAATACTTAACAAAATACACTCAAACTTACTAAGATACTCGAGTACAAAATAGGAGTAATTCACGCTATAAATCTCATATTCAAAATCTGTGTATTGTTCTCTCATATTCAAATCCGATGGTGGTATTGATTTCTTGCATGACCTGCACACTCTGGAGTTCTTAAATAGTATAAAATGTTTTGGTGTTCCAAATCATTAATTGCACTTAAAGGTTGAGACTTCTGTCATGTTGTTGAGAAATATTGATCATTCGATTAGACTGTGTAGTGGAACACGCTTGGTGATACCGAAGCTTTTCACTCACGTGTTTGAATGTAAGATTCTAACATGATCAAATGCTGGACATAAGGTACTGGTACCAAGACTTTTCCTATCTCCATCTGATCTCAGGATATCCTTCAAGTTCCAGCGTAGACAATTTACTCTTATGTTTTCTTACGCAATGACAATCAACAAGAGTCAAGAGCAGTCGTTATCCCATGTCGGACTTTACATGAAAAGACCTGTGTTTATTAGTCATGGTCAATTATACGTTGATGTGTCTCAAGTCACTAATCCACAGGGATTGAAGATATTAATATGTGGTGGGACGATAATGGGAAAAAGAAAACTACTAAAAATGTTGTCTATCGAGAATTTTTTCTAAATTTGTAATACCATATAATATTGTACTTTTACTATCTATTCAATAATAATGCTATTTACTTGTCATTTACTTTTTATGATATATATATATATATATATATTAATGTATTTATTAAAATATTTTAATAAATATGTTCCGTGCATCGCACGGGTGAAGATACTAGTCTATATAATGGACCAATCTTTATTATTATAATTGACATAGTTTTAGGCGGAAAAATATTTTCATTTATATTTAGCATATACTTAGCCTTTATCTATTAGCAAATTTTATACGTGAACATTAATTATTTTTTGTTTACTCATTGACTACTATTCATTAGTTATCAATTGAGTTAAATGTAATATTGATTGATGACATATATTTTCAATAAGACCTAATATTAATTTCGTAGTAATTTTTAACACAATTAAAAACACAATTCAAAATTTGAAATATTGATTTGATTAACTATATTATTATCTCATGGATGTAGATTTTAACTTTATTAAGTATAATAACCTATCAGAAGTACTTAAAATATCTAACAAATAATCAGAATAATTGTGTTTGAATCATATATTAACTTAATGAATAATTTATAATAATAACAAAATTTGCTAAAGTATAGTCAACATAACCATTAAAAAGTTTATGTTCATTGAATATATTATTTTATTAGATATACTATTGAAAATCAAATTTAATATATTAATAAAATTATTATTTGATGGTCGAGTGAAATTAAGAATTATAAACATTGGAAATATATGCATACATAAAAAAGAGATTAAGTTGTAAAAAGCATATTCTTACTATATACTATTTAATAAAGAAAAATGAGTAAATAGGATAATATATATAGTCAAATATCATAATTAAAAATTATAGCATTTGATAATAATTGAAATATATAATTTATTTAAACATTTAAATTAGATATTAATACACTCATTATATATGTTGAATATATTTA